CTCAATACAAAGAAAACAAAAACCTCACAACTGGTCCAGTAAACAGCTTCACAGTGGATGGAGAAAAGATTGAAGTTGTCAAGGATTTCATATTACTTGGTTCTACAATCAACCCCAATGCAAGCAGCAGTCAAGACATCAGACAACATATTGCATTGGTCAAATCTGCTGCAAAAGACCTCTTTCAAGTGATGAAGAACAAAGATGTCTCCTTGAAGATTAAGGTGCACCTAACCCAATCCATGGTATTTTCAATCGCCTCTTATACATCTGAGAGCTGAACAATGAATAAGGAAGACCGAAGAAGAGTTGATGCTTTTGAGTTGTGATGAAGAATGCTGACAGTATCATGGTCTGCTAAGAAGACTAACAAATCTGTCCTGGAAGAAATGCAGCCAGAATGCTCCTTGGAAGTGAGAATGGCCAGACTTCGTCTCACCTATTTTGGTCATGTTGTCAAAAGGAACCATTCACTGGAGAAGGATATCATGCTTGGTAGCATAGGGTCAACGAAGAAGGGGAAGGCCCTCAACCAGATGGATAGACTCAGTGGCTGCAATGACGGGCTCGGGTATAGCAAGGATTGTGAGTCTGGCACAAAACCGGGCAGTGTTTCATTCTGCTGTGCATAGGGTTGCTATGTGTTGGAGATGACTCAATGGCAACTAACTACAACACAACCAACAACAGTGTTCTGAATGGGAGAATGACTCCCTCCTGAGTCCCAAGTCCTTGATCCCTCACATCCCACCCCTGTCCCCTGTCTTGGGTGTGAATAAAGTAAAAGAGAGAAGGAAGAAAAGCCAGACACTGGGGCTTTGGGCTATTAACCTGCAGACAGGCTCCATCCACCTGCCTTCCCTTGTCACCCCAACCTCTGAGCAGAGCTGTGGCTTTGGGCCATGAATCTGTGAGAAGGCAGCAGAGAGGTGCAGACAGGACCTGCAGTAGTCACTTTGCCATGTATTCCGTTTGTGTGTTTGGGGGTGCTGGGGCCAATAGGCAACAGTCTCAGGTGGGTGAGCATTTTTTGGAGAGCAGGAACTCTTCATGAGTCTGGGTAGGACTGGTCCCTTCCTGGCTGCAAATCTTGACCCAGTCAGCTCTACCTGTAGTTTAAAATGGCACAAGTCAACACACCCACCTTAAGTAAGGTGGGAGTCACAGGGAGAGACTGAGGAATTGTAGACTGGTTCCAGAGGAGGGAGCAGCTCCATGGGGCCACCTGCAAAATGACTCCTAAAACCTGAGGAGCATTTAATCACTGAAGTTCTGCAGCACAATGCCGATTTTCACATTACTGATAAGTGAGGAGTGGGTGTATTTTAGTTCTGTACAATTTTACTGCATGTGAAGATTCATGTATCCACTACCACAGTAAGGATACAGAACATTTCCACCACCAAAAGGATCTTTCATGTGGCCCTGTTACAGCCAAACCTACCTCCCTACTGGGCTTACTCCTCTTTCCCTCATGTATCTCCCCACCAACCCCTGGCAACCACTAGTCTGTTCTCCATTTCTACAGTTTTGCAATTTAAGAATGTTATATAAATGGAATCACATAGTTTGCAACCTTTGGGGGTTGACTTTTTTCCCTCAGCATAATTCTCTGGAAAGTCTCGAAGATGTTTGTTTATACATATGTATATAGCTCCTACCTTTTTAATGCTGAGGCATTTGACTGCTAACCAGAAGGCTGGCAGTTCAAACCCACCAGCCACTCCTCAGAAGGAAGATGGGGCAATCTACTTCTGTTGT